AGCAGGAAATAAATATTATCTTTGACTCAGGAGCAATTTTTGCTTTCATTCTTTGTAAAAAAAAAATTTTGTTCACCAAAGCACTTTTCTGTGTTCAGATTTTTGTGCTTCCCTGTTGAACAACTGATGGTCAGAATATTGATATTTTTTAAAAAAATTATTTTCTTCTACTATCTGAAACATTTTTGTTACAATTGTTTTCTATGTCAGAATTTTTATACCCCTGGGGCTTTTCACAGGGCTGTGCAGCACCACATCTTGCATTCTGTTTTCGGTTTCTTTAATGGAAATGTGAGACTTAATGATCAATAATACTCACTGTGGTTCATCTGACAAGGGGAATCTGAAGTATCTTTTCGATTAAGTTGGCTACAGATAGAAAATTTTAAAGATTCTGCTAAACGTCAAACAGTATTTTTAATGCTAGTATGCCTAGTTCTGACCAGATGAAAGCTTCTGTTTTGTTGATGCTTTCCAAGCCGTTGAGCTTGAGAGAGGAGGTGATGCCCCTGATAATAACAGACGATTACACTTTTTGCTGCCATTACACCAGCAAGTGAAAGGTACATAAGCATGGGAACTACAACTGATGTTGGTAAATACTGGTGGGATATTAATCTGTTCATCTATTTTTTTCAAGAAATTAGGTTAGAGTTCTTGAACAACGCATGAACAATCACAAATGTAAGTAAATAACGACACTGTTAATTCAGACTGCATTGTGTTTCCTTTGCAGGCTGTGATAAAGATGTGCTGATTGATATCCTAACGCAGCGTAGCAATTCACAGAGGCTCATGGTTGCTACGGCTTACGGGGACGTGTACGGCAGGGTATGACAGAGCTGGTTTGTACTTCCATTACTTCTCCCTCCTGTCTCCAGTGCAGTTGGTCAGCCCTTCTCTCAGGCCAGTCCCTGGAAGCAAAAGCCTGGAAGATGGCTCGCTAGCACCAACAGACTGGCACACAACTTCACTCATGTCACTGCCGATGTCTCCGACAGTTTCAAACTCTCATTTATACAGCAGTAGAAGTATGCCTGCCACACACGAAGTCAAACAAAAGGGACATGGAAAGTTTCTTCTTCTATTGTTCATTCTCCTCCTCTATTGAACAAACTGGAATTTCTGGACAGGCTTATAAGAAATGAGCCTTTATGTGCTTTTGGGGGTTTCTTCACTGGCCTCTAAATAGACTGAAACACAGCCCTTAACTCTCCTAGAACTGGGGGAAAGAGATGGATTTAATCAGTGTAGCAGGTTGATTTTGTGATGTTAGTCACCTATAGGAGATCACCAGCTTTATTTGGACTGTTATAAAAAATCAAACATAGAATATTTGTGATATTTTAGATGCAGTCTTGAATGGATGAGCATGCAAACATGCTCATAAAAGAACAATAATTGAATCACAGGTATCCCTACCTTACAAAGACTGTGACAATGATTGAAATTGGTGGATCTGAATGATTTAAGTTTTTTTTTCTCTTACGAGGTATTTATTAGGCTACCATTACTATTACACATACAAACCACGCAAGTTCAGTGTTTATCCATGCAACACTCTTCACCAAATTTTACTTTTACTAAAACCAAAGCATGTAAGGCTACCCAAATCACCTGTGACAGTAACTGGACACTTCTAAGATTTGTCTGGACCGGGTGCTGGGCCATCTTATCTAGACTGTGCGCTTCCCAGAAAAGGTTGGACTAGGTGATCTTTGAGGTCACTTCAAACCTGTTGTTCTATGATTCTATGAATCCTATGTGGTGTGCTGGCTTGTGTGTCTGTTGTTATCTCACTGATACTATTAGAAGAAGCTGGTACTACTTAAAATAATATTTTTCATACTTAATATTAGACAGAATTCATCTTTGACAGTTCATCTTTATTCATTTACAGACAAAACTAGTAATGCTTTATTAAGCTGTCTTCATAAAGTGCAACTATTGAAATAATCTTGTCTATGCATTTTCATTTTCTTTTCAAGGATCTGATAACAGACCTAAAAGAGAATCTCTCTCATCACTTCAAAGAAGTCATGGTTGGCTTGATGTATCCACCTGCCTCCTATGATGCTCACGAGCTTTGGCATGCCTTGAAGGTTCTTGTTGAAATCAGAATTGCTTAAACTTGCAGTCACTAATTATAGTACTGAACTTAAATTGATTTTTTTTTACATTTAACTGTTTGATAAACCATTGGAATAGTGTACTACTACTACATGCTAGGTCATTAGAGATAGTGATATATGAAGTTTATTCATTGGTATGCTAAAACCAGTAAAAATAATATCCTTGTCATGTAAAAAATACAACCCATTTAACACCTAAGGTAAACTCAATAAATAGAGAAATATTTACACAGGGACTCTAAAGCCCTGATTCTATAAGCATTTATGTATGTTATAAACAAAATTCACTTGAGCAGCCAGTGCCGTGGACTAACCCTTCCCTCTGAAAAGAGCAATACTTCTTTAACAGAACATGTCTTTACATAAACACAAATTACTGTGTGACAAAGTAATAATCACTTCACCAAAACTGAACTGATTGCATATTTTGAAGAAAACATCTCCTTTTCTTCCCAGATCTGAGCCTCCTTAAACAACTAAGTTTTGTTTGAAACAAAAATATTTTTTCAAAGATTATGTGATTATATGGTGAAATTAATTTCCACGGAGCATTGTGGAGGCCAAAAGCACAAATCAATTCATAAAGGACTTAAATAAATTCATAGAAAACAGATCCACTGTTGGCTATTGAAAATAATGAACCTTGGCGGATTCCTTCTCAGGAAATTCCTAAATTGCCAATTCCTGGAAGATGGGAAGGCCTACTAGATCTCAACACTGTTTTCCTTCTCATTAATATTTTCTTAATATCCTTAATATTTTCTACTGTCTGCTGCCATGAATAAGGCAGGTTATATGATTCCAGGCAAGGTTACCTATCTAACATATTTCTGAGAATACCCTTTAAAAAAGATTCACATTGTTTTTTCTCATTCTTCAGACACTTAAACTAATGCACTTTTTAGAACTACTGCCATATTTTTAATTACAGTTGGCATTAAAATGATGGTTATATATCATTGGTAGCACTGGAAGCATGACTTTTATTAAAATTATTGACAAGATTGCCAAAGTTTGTTTGTCTGATTTTTGTCAAGGTGGCTCAAAGTTAAACTTTGTTGTAGTATTTTATCTTGATCAGGATTCACACGACCCAAGTAAATCAGGCCATATGTGTCCCCAGGCTCAGGCTCAATGTCATGTCCTCCTATAACCTTAAATGCAGAATGCTGACGAACACTACACATGTGCATATCAAAAGAAGTGTATCTTACATCAAGCACATAAAATTAATTCAAATCCTGTGGGAAAATACAGTGATTTGCAGCACTGCATGCATGGTCCTGATGTTTGTCTTAAACACCAAGCCCTACAATAAACATTACAGACCATAACACTCCTAAATAAATTAAAAATATTTGGAAAAAGCACAACATAACAGTTGTGCTTATATTTACTCCAGATTGCCTGAGGATGTATGCTCAATCTTTGCATCTAAATTACTTTCAGCAAACCCTAAATTTTTACTAAAGCTCTAAAATTCTTCCCATTATGTTCCTGACATTAGTCTTGCTTCGTTCCCTACGTTAATGTACATGCTTAAATTTAGATTAAGTAGGAATGTATTTGAATACAGGTTTCTACTACAACTTGAACTAATTTTCAATTTAAACAAGTAGACTATGCAAAAGTATGCCCCAGCAGAGACTGTTATTTCCTTGTGACTTCTGATGAGAACAACACTGCTTTCTTCTAAAAGCTGTGGTTACTAACAACATCTTTTCATGTTTATCTTCTTTTCACACAGGGAGTAGACATAGAAGCAAAGTGTCTAATTGACATACTAGCCTCAAGATCAAATATGGAGATCCTCCAGATGAAAGAAGCCTACTTAATGCGTAATGTTTTTGACAAGTGCACAGTGGGAGTTGCATTCAGTGTGCTCTGGGTGTCTTAGCACACATGAAGGGACCAAACTACAAAAACGCCTCCTCAATACCAGCGGGTTCCCTTCCCCTTCCTTTCCCGTAACTATATACAAAAGGCTGGAGCAAAATATTTAAAGCTGAAAATACATTATAGTATTTTGAAATGTAGTGCTGCCTCCGACATTTGAAATATCTGGAAGCCACATCTGGGGCTTTTCAGAAACTTTTGCATGCTTTATTCAAAAAGGTACATCAGCTGTTTTGCATCGAAAAGTGCTTACTCAGGCTGGACACTGCACACCCCTGCCCTGATGGGACAGTTCTGAGTAGCCCACTGCCATGCAGCAGCACCAGTGGTGGGGCTGCACCCCTGTGTGGGTGGATAGGCAAACTGGGGCAGCAGCTGAGGCCCCACAGCAGGGCCCACAAAGACCTCCTAGCCCCATGGCCAAGCCCATGTAGAACCTCCACATGTTACTGTTGAATAATCACCACAGAAAAGGGAGAAGTATTTGGACCCTACTTATTCACTCTTTGTTTGCTAATCTTCATGAGTATTATTCAGAGCATGTTCACTTGTGATTTAGACTATATATTTTTGGTTTAACCTAGAATACAATAACGATCTTCAACAAGATATTGACTCTGCGACTTCTGGTCACTTCAGAGATACGCTCATTACCCTCGCTCAGGTACTGTAAAAACAAGTAGTATGACTTATTTCTAAAAAAATTCTTAAGGAAATAATAAGAAATAATTTAAAGATAATGTAATAACTTAAGATATCAATACGAAGAAGAAATAATAAGAAAATTCTTTCAATATTATTTGAAAAGTCTTAAATCTTAAGGGGACTGTGGTTAAAGATACACTTTTAGTTCAATAGAGCTACACTTTTCAATGAGAGAGGAGGGAAAGTAGAAGAGGAAGAGAACTTTAATTCCTTCATCTACTTTGACTTTGGCTTTCAGAAGGAGGCAAAGGCCAACAGACTGTTTTACAGAGGAAGCCCCTGGTTATTCAACTGTTAACCCTTTGCTCAATCTGCCTTATCTCAAAAGGAGTCTACTTGCATGCACAAATGAGATATTAATTTTTAAAGCTCTGCTTTCTCCATTGTTAAAATACATGGCTCATAATTCAGTCTAGGCATCATGTAAAAATGGAGATATATCTACATTCGATTATGAAACAAAATATTTAATAGTTCTGTTTTAAACATTTATTTTGCTGACTACCTGGCCCAGCATGAAGGATAAAGCCATCAGCATGAAACGTACAGGCCAAAGTTTACTGTCCCACTCCAACAAATACAGGAAAGATACTGCATGATTAACAAGAGGAGGAGTAAACAGATCAATATACTCACTCGTGGTAGATGATGTAACAAAGGACAGGGGAAGCTGAGCCAGGAATCCCGTAATGGAGGAAAGAACAAGTCAACAGTCCAATGTCACCCCAGTCTTCAAAAAGGGCCAGAGAGAAGACCCGGGAATTACAGACCGGTCAGCCTCACCTCCACACCTGGAAAGGTGATGGAACAACAACTGCTGGAGGCCATCTCTAGGCACATGGAGAAAAAGGGAGTTATCAGAAGTAGTCAGCATGGATTCACAGAGGGAAAATTGTGTTTGACTAATCTGATAGACTTCTATGATAGAGTGACTAGTCAGATAGGTGAAGGGAGAGCAGTGGATGTGGTTTACCTTGACTTCAGCAAAGCTTTCGACACTGTCTCCCACAATATCCTAACTGTGAAGCTCAGGAAGTATGGATTGGATGAGCTGACCATGAGACAGGTTGAGAACTGTGTTAAACAGAGCTCAGAGGGCCGTGGTCGGTGGGGTAGACTCTAGTTGGAGGCTTG